ATGGATTGATATTAGTTTAAAATATTGACACAAGCATAATAGGTCAGCTCGTGTGTTGACCTAATTACATTGAACTATCCGCTAAAAGTATAAAAATTACTTCGTACTAAGGAGGCTAGCAAGACACGGGGTGGGTCAAGCCGTCAAGCTATGCATACGATTGCGAAATAAAATAACATAAAAAAGTTACAAGAAAAAACAAATGTTATAAAATTAGGTGAATCCGTGAACTTGATCAATTATTCTTTTGGTATATTTTTTAGAAAACCTTAACTTAACCCTAAAAGCAAGTTGGTTTAGCAGAAGTTCCCCGACCTTTGGCATTTGCACCAGTTAGGGGTGTACACCGGTCCAAAACCGGACCGGACCTGGACCGGACCTGTTTGGACCGGGGACCTGAATTGGGTAATTATGAGGACCGGGGACCGGACCTGAATTAACAGGTCCGGTTCCGGGCCAGACCTGAAAAATCAGGTCCGGTCCGGGTTTGGACCTGAATGGACATGTTTTGTGTCTTTTTCGTTTTTTTTTAATACAAAACCTGTTGGACCTGCATATGGACCTGTTTTGTGATTTTTAGACCTGTTGCATAATTTAATAATTACATACAAACCAAAATTATCAATTACAAAACTACATAAAGTCTATAAAGTCCCCATTCTCAAACACCAAAAATACAAATGAGTCCACCGACAATACAAATAAGTCCACGAAAACTCATAAAATTACATAAATTCTCTTAAGTCTCAACTCTCAAGTACTAGAAATACATAAATTCTCCAACGAGCTGTTTTCCCTTTGATCGCGTGATTCATACTAATGAGTCCACGAAAACAACTTCATCGTCTACATCGTTAGATTCACCACGTTGCACCTCTAAATAAAATACAATATAGAATATATTAATGATTGATAACAATGAAATAATAAATTTGGTGTAACAAAATTTCAAATACATAAAATTATTACTACCTTTCATTTCCTCTAACTCTTTCAAATTTTCTTCCACATCAACAATTGGCACTTCCTTAGCTCTAAGCCAATCTTGTGTGCAAAGTAACGCTTGAACCATCTTCAATACAAAAATATTACACAAATATTATAAACAAAGTCATATTAAGATATAAACAAACTTGATTTTATAAAATAAAAAGATAACGATGCATTACCTTAGGAGTTAAAGAACTCCGAAATGGATCTAGAGTACGACCTCCCGTACTAAAAGCAGATTCCGATGCAACGGTCGACAATGGGATGGCTAGTATGTCACGTGCCATGCGATTAAGAATCACATAACGCTGACCATTCTTACCCCACCATGTCAATGAATCTTGTTCTTCCTCCTCCGGCCCTAATTGATCATTTAAGTACCTATCCAACTCACTTATCGCATACCCACTTGTCCCCTTCAATCGTTTTGCTCTTTCTTTTAGTTTCCTCACATAATCGGAACCCACTCCTTTACTATTATCAATATCCATTGACATATTATCTCCACAATCTGGAATATTAGAAGTAGCATACATTTTTCTATATTCCTCAAATAAAGAGTAAGCGAACTCCTTCACATCATTAGCAAGTTTTGTACCCTTTTCCGGTCCATGCATATCTGTTAGTGTCAATTCAACAATGACCATCTTAGAGTGAGGGTCGAGAAGAAGAGCAACATAAATGAACTTATTCATCTTATTCACATCCCCCCAATACTTATCAAACTTTTTTTTCATTGCAATGGCCATAGCTTGAAAATTCAAGTCCTCACTTTGTTCCCAATTATTCAACATATCATACATAGAAGCAATTTCTCCTAAACCTTTATTAGCTGTCACATAATGGGAACCAGAAATTCGTTTAGTTAACAGATAAAACCCCTCTAGAAACAAAACCAACCTCTCCACTTTTTCCCAATCTTCGGGTTCGGGAGGCCTTTCATTGTCATTCAAATCCTCTCCATCAGGAAGAGATAACCCACTAAAAACACGTCGAAACTTCAAAGCCGTTTCCAACATTATGTATGTGGAGTTCCAACGAGTGGGACATCAAAGGATAAAGAAGATTTTGAATCTATATTTGCTTTTTGCACAAGATCTTTGAATCTAAGTATTCTTGCAGGGGAATTCTTAACATATTTCACAGCATTTCTAACTCTATCAATGCACACACCATGTTCTCTAATACCATCCCACACAATTAAATTAATGATATGAGCAATGCATCTAACATGAAGATTTTTTCCATCATTTATACATCCTGTTCTTCTAACCATTCTACTCAAGTGTGCACAAGCAACATCATTTGAAGAAGCATTATCAACAGTGACAGTAAAAAGTTTATCATCAATACCCCAGTACTCTAAACATGCCTCAACTGCTTTTCCAATAGCCTCTCCTTTATGACTAGAAATTGGACAAAAATTTATGATCTTTTTATTCAATTTCCAGTCATTATCAATGAAATGAGTTGTAAGACACATATAATTAATTCTTTGTATTGAAGTCCAAGTATCAGTGGTCACAGAAATTCTTTGACATGTCTTAAAAATTTCTCTCAATTTCTCTTTTTCACTATAATACAACTTTAAACAATCACGAGCAATGGTAACACGAGATGGAATGTGAAATTGTGGACATGCAACTTGCACAAAGTGCCTAAAACCGGGTTTTTTCACATGCTTAAATGGTAACTCATCAACAATAATCATGTGAATCAATGCCTCTCTAACATCATTCAAGTTAATAATCCTACTCCCACACTTTAATTCACTACTCTCATGTTCTTGATCAAAATACAATTTAGTTTGCTTTTCTTTGCCCTTTTCTTTTTCTATATTAATAGGATTACCGAGACATGATTCTGCATGGTTTTTAACATTTTTTGAACCATTAAGATTACCATCAGCAGCAAAAGTTTTAGGACAGAACTTACATTCAGCTCGTAGTTTTCCATTCTCGACGTACTCTAAGTAATATTTCCAATACTCAGCTTTCCTCTTACTTTTTCTGTTCCATATATATTCCCGCCCCGCTTTTAGCTTTTTATCAGGAGGAAAAGTAGATTGCAGTTCTTCCATATCCTTTTCAGAAAGTGGCTGTGACGTTTGTTCAGAAAAAGAAGCAGACCGTTTGGATTGAGAGCTCTCCATCTACAATATAATTATATACAATATAAGTAATTTTAAAGTAACAATTATATACACATACCATTTTATACAAAAATTTAAGAGCAACTTACATTGCAAGAATAAGAATCCGTGGTTCCTTGACTTCCTTCACTCCCTGCAAGAATAAAAACAAAAATAAGAACCCCTGAACTACACACAGGTTAGCCAACTTATTTAATCTTAATAATCTGAGTCCATACTTTTAGCAGCCTAGCAGGAATAAACACAAATTTTAAAGTATAAGTTAGCTTAAAAAGTGTCCATATATACACATTAGAAATATCAATACCAGGTAAATAGCGTATATGATACGGAGTATGAGTTAGTTTAATAAGTGCAAGTCCATTCATTATTCATTAGAAAACCAAACAATGATTAATATAATGAATCACTAGTTCACTACTCATCCAAAAAATTTCTCAACGATCAAAATTTATTACGAAGTAGTAAGTTACTAAGTTGTGCCGCATTATGTTGGATCAATTTGCAGGTTGGTATTATGGTATATATTCAACTATTCATAATACAATGTGAAATTGAATTGCCACATATAACATTCAAACACAGAGACTAATAATGCATACAAATATACAATAGAGTACATACTTAGCAGTTTTCTGTATTATACAGAAATATTGATTGAGATAATGATGGATTTTTTTTTGTATTTCTCATCATCAAGACAAATTCAAGTGGAGACATATATTACCTTGAATAACTTATACTTTAGGAAATAAACACAAATTTTCGCACTAAATTAATCTTAATAATCATAATAAACACAAAATTTCGAACTAAATTTCGCACTTGAACCCTAAACCCTAAACTTCTTAATTCTTATGAACCCTAAACTCAAAAAAACCAAAAAAAAAAAAACAGAAATTCGAAAGAGATGAACTAAAAATAAGAAATTCAACATGCAAACATCAAACAATCATTAAAAGCAATTGAAAATTTGAAACAAGAATAAACATATAAATTCTCACACTTAAATTTATTATTTCGAATTAAAAATACCAAAATTATAAGCAAATACTTACCAGATATTATCGGTGTGCATCGCCTGAGAGAATGAGGGAGGTGTCGGCAGTGGGCGGTGGCCGGAGCGAGTTGGGACAGCCGCGTTGAGAAGTTGAGATTGAGGGAGGCTGAGAGAATCAGTTTGGGCTTAGGGAGTTAGGGTTAGAACTTAAAAATATGAAAGAGAAGTTTTAACGTCAGTTTCAATTTTTCAGAGTTTGGTTTTCTTTTTTTTTTTTTTTTTTTTTTTTTTTTTAATTACGATTTTCCCGGGTTTCAGGTCCGGACCTAAAAACCCGGGTTTGGACCGGGAACCTGGATTTTTAAGAACCGGGACCGGACCTGAAACAACAGGTCCGGGTCAGGTCCGGTCCGGTTCAGGTCCGGGCCAATTTTTGTACACCCCTAGCACCAGTAAAGAATTACTCCGTATCAAATTAGCAAAGGATCGAACATCCAAAAACAATTACTGACTTCAACAAGCAGTTACCCAATTGATTAAGGCGAAATGTCTGAAACACCCACATAGGACAACATAATTTGACTATCTTACCCCTTGATTTGTTTTTATTACTCGTATTTTTTGGTTGGTAAGAAAGAGGGCCCTATCATGTCGGAAGTTCTCACATATCCACCCGGCCCAAATTATCGGCTAAGTACTTTTGTTATTTTATCTTTATTTTGGTAGGTAAGATAAAGTGTCCTATTAAATCGGAACCCTTCACAGGTCAACCTGATTCGAGTTAGCGGGACGCAATTTGAGAGAGTAGGAAAAGGTAACAGAATTGCATCCCTAGATTATTACTCGTGAGGATTAAACCTCCAATCAAGATGCTCTCATTTTCACTTGATCAAGCTTAACTCGGTTTAGGTACTTTTGATATACTCCACCTCTCTATCAAGTTTACAAACTTCAGACTTTAGAGTACTTTCGTAGTCTGTATTGTTTCTCTTTACATACGCCGTAATTTTTTGAAAAAAAAGATCGTGAGTTCCTCAATATTGCAATCAGCAGAACCCAATATTAGTGAATCAAACCCTAAATTCAACCGAAAAAATCAATAATTATGTCTGAAATTGAATCCTCAATCACCGAACAGCATAATGCTGCTGCTGCTGCTGCTGATCACGATGATCTAAATCAGAAGAACGACAATGATGAAGATGTGCTCAAATTCATGGATTCCCTTGATTCTTACCTTCTTTTACTCGATGAACTCTCCTCCACTCTTCGTCAGGTTCTATTTTCTTACTTTGATTTCCCAAGCCCTAATTTACTTTTTCATCAACTTGTTATCTGCAATCTTCTGCCATTTTACGTTCCAATTTTTTGTTATAAATTGATTGTAAATCGAGGATAATTTTCTAGGAACGAAATTCGATTGATTTTCGTTCTATTGCAATTGGTTGATTTTCTACTGTAATTGAAACTTCAATTATTTGTGTTTATCAATTTGTTGATTTTCTACAGTATATTGTATGCAAGTTGGGAGGTTTTATTTTAAATTATTATTATTACTGAAGATGCAAGTTTGTTTGTATTTTAGATAGTTACTAAAGCTGTGGCAAGTTCTTGTTGATTAATTGACATGTACTTCGTATATTACATTAGTTTGGTAAAGTCGTGGCCTTTTCGGGTGGTGGCTTACTGGCTTGCAAGGAACTTGAATGATGTGTAAATAACTAAGTCGTCGATTATTTAATTGTAATTATAATGTCACGCTATGGTGTCTAGATTATCGGCAATTCTTCACAGTGATGATTACTCCTAGAAAAAGTCCTTTAATATAGGGGTGAGGTTGGAGCAATCAATGGAGGAAGTATTCTCTTACGTTTTTGCTTACTTAAGCCCTTTAAAAAAAAGCCCTGTTTTCTCTTGGTTCTATTATTGTGTCGTTTCTGTTTTTTAATACTCGTGCTTTCAACACGTTGGTTTCAGGGATGGTTTGATTTTGCTAGTGCTCGTTATTCCATGGGAACTTCACGCGTCAATAGTGTTTTATTGAATCTTAAAGAACACTCAGCTGCCACTCATTTGGAAGTAGAAAAGGGTGATGGTGAGAGTTTGAAATTTTACTATAATGAATTGGCGATATTTTTGATAAGTTTAGTATCTTAAGTTGTCAGAGATGATATTGAAATTGGATAGGAATATTGGGACAGAAAAGGGTGATGGTGATCTGAAAAGAACTGTTTTAATTAAATGTAGAAATGAGGGTTCTAGTACTAGAAAAAATGCTAGTTGCTTGTAGATTGAAGTTTAGTGTATTTCTTCGATACAAACTTTCTTCACAGTTTCATTTAACAAGTCTAGATATTTGTTTTTAATCTTCCAGTATTGAATTATTGCAGAACCACATTTTACCCTCTGCAAGTGGGTATCTGAGGATGCTGCAGATTCTGAGAAAATGAATGAAGGAAATAGTGGGTTACAGCAGAAATCTGAAAGTAAGCGCCAGCGACACAAAGACGTATCTCAAACAACAGGTAATAAACTTAGGTCACTTTATATGAACTGGTGATGATGCTTGAGCGATATGTTTTGTGTAATGTGAACACCATCTGTTAAAGTGTTTAATAAGGATTTGGCTGGATCCTCGTTTTCAAATATTAGATTCAACGGCTATAAAATCATTTGTATCCTACAGATGTTTGTGTGCTGTTTCTTGTATCCTTTCTGGTTGGGTCTAGCTGTCCAGAGAGATTTACTGATAGTCTCCTTGTTGTTTGTCTGGATAGCCAAGGAAGATAGCTCGCCAAGTGGATCATCAAATCCTTTTGCACAGGTACAGAAGGAAAGATCAAAGTCACTTGCTGTTTTCAGCGCATTAGGTTCTCCTAAATTGGGAGCCGCTCAACTTTCATTTGAAACAGGTTTGAATGTTCTCTTCGATTCTTTTTACTCATCACGTGTTCCCTGAACTTTTAACATCTATTATAGCAACTTTTTGTTTTCTCATTGTAATAATATACATATTATCTTTCTGACATACAGCCTTGGAAAAACTGGTTGAGATAGCAAACATGCGGGCATCAATGCTACATGCTTTTGAACAAGTACGGCAACGCATAGATAGCATTGAGGACTAGTGCAAGTCATTCGGTATCAATTCTAAATTTCATATGGTTGATCCTTTACAGTGTTGATCACCTTGTCTGTTTTTTTCACACTAATTAAGCTCCATAGACACTGTCTTTTTTCTTTGCAGTGTTCTGCTCCGCATTTTTTTTTTTTTTTTGTTTCTTTCTGCTTTGACCTTGTGCATTTTATAGTGTTTTATAAGTTTTATGACCTTGTGCATCTTACTCCACTAGTATAATCTTTTTTTTGTTTCCATAAATTGTTCTGCTCCCTTAAATTTCTTATTTCTTTACTTTGAGCATCTTATCTTTTTGACTAAGATTAGCTGAAGGATCAAACTCTTGAGGTGGAGCTAGCAGCACCTGTATTGATGAAATTGCTAAAAGCTTCCAAGAAGAAATTTTCTCAAAGCCTCATCTTTTACAATTAGCCTAACTGTAGCCGGAAGTAGTATTGGTTAACACATTGCTCAAGAATCAAAACCCAACTGTAGACCTGCTCTAGTCAAAGTATCTTTTATTTATTGCCTTTCTCACCCAGTGTCTCCTGCTCATGACCAACTAAATGTTTTAACTTCTTTTTCAAAGCCTGACTATTTTCAGAACCGTTCTTAGGCCCTCAACTCATGATAGTAACTTGCAGCCTCTACCCAATGAATTCCTAATTGGAAAACTCAGATTAATTTAGTAAATAGGGTTTGCAGCCATGCTCATGAGCTCCTCTTAGTCCTCCCAGCATGAGGTGTAACAGGCTAACAGCTCTACTGATTAGGCTTCCAACAGGACTTAAACCTGTGGTACATGTGATTTGAACCCCAGTATGACTGGGAACTCTACTGCAATGTCTCCATTTCTGGCTTATCCCTTAGCTCTATTTTACTGGTTTTAAATTTACTCTTTGAATTCTTCAGTTGCTTACAACTTGGATATAGAGCTAAGGGATTATGAACTTTGTTAGATACCTCTTCATTATTTCCAAGTTGAAGCAACTGAAGAATTCTTTTGGATTGTCAACTTGGATAGACCTAGGAAGGTGTTGTTTGGGAGGGAATAGTGGCCAAACCTCAAGAGAGATTCTATCAACTGATTCACCTACAAGATAACGGTTGCATTGGAAAAGTTCTCATCCTCTTTTCTTCTTCCTGCTGTTTGCCAATCTTTAGAATTTACTTCTCTGCCTGGATGATTGGTAGTTAAGTAGTGAGTCCAGAAAAAAACACTGACAGTGCCCCTTTGAATAACTTAGCGATATCCTTTGTTAAAATTTGCATTAAGTAGCATCATAAGCATTGTGGTGTCCTCTGTTTCCCAGGATTCCTAATTAAAATGTAGTTGGCTCATGGTTAGACCTTAGACTATTCACTTTAAATTTTGGACCTTTGGCTAACAAAACCTATTTTCTTTGCTAGGTTTTTTCAATCTTGTTGGAGGAATTGCCTCAAGATTTGTGACAGCTCCTCTATCTTGTTTCTGGGTACCTAAGAATTTGAAAGATGTATGACAGCTGAATGTGTTGTGTGACCATCAAGGTGACTTCCCTTTGATTCAAGCATCATATGCAGCTCGGAAGTTTGATGTCTGAGGTGCAATTACAGATTTGCAGGAGCCCTCTTATCGTGCCTGAATGGGATTGAGTTCTCAATTTTTGGTCACTAAAAGGATCAGAATTGTTGAGAATGTGATTTTCCATAACAATAGTGGCAATACTTAGCTTGGGTTGCAACTTAAGACATAATAACTACTGCCTTTGTCATTAAATCAAATAATGGCTACTTTTGAAGTTGGATAACTTAGAGGAATTCAAAACAGTCACAATTCTCCTTAACAATTCAATCTTATTACACCAATGTATTGAACTTCTTCATTTGTGAATCATACGAAAAATAAATTTTATTTATTAAATTTAGATACGGTAAATGCTCTAATATTACAGGTATATACACTATGTACTTCGTATATAGGAGTAATAAGTAATAATAACCCAAAGTGAGGTTCAGAAAAAATAAAAAATAAAATAAAAAATAAGAAAAGGTTGGAAGACATTATGGTAGGGGGGGGGGGGAGGTATACTTTTTTTCATGTCCGACATATGTTACTTGTCCCCTATTACGAGAGATCATCATGAAAAGATGCCTCTCAAAGCTGAGATTTTTAAGCAATAGGCTATTCTCTTGCATACTTTGAAGTGATAAAAAATAGTGAGCAATGATTGCACGCACAATTGTTTGACAAGCCATATGCACAATGTGAACCATTATGTAGCCTAAACTCATGATGATGGCCGCATAATCAAGCGATGAGCATGAATTTTCCCCCACCCTTTCCTATTTTCCTTTGAAATAAGTCGAAGGTAAGAAACAAGAATAGCTTGATAGCAAGGTATAAACGTATAATCTCGTGATTTTTGCGCTCATGTGACCTTAATATACCCTTTGGAGACCCTCCTCTCGGTTCTAGCATTCCCAACAATTTTACAAAGCTCATTTACTTGTTCCAATATGTTCTCTCCCTCATGTTCAATCTCAAACTAACCAGTACCTTTCTCATAATGACAAAACCTAGCTAAATAGAGTAGAAATTCACTTCGTAGAGCATCCAGTAGTGCGTGAGATACACTTTCCTCCTCCCCATCTATTGGATGATGGGATATTTAAGTAAATAAAACGGGCGGTGAATCACAATGGAGGGATTAAGTATCGCAAATGGGAAGGTGAGATTAGAGAATATGTCAAAACAGAGTAACAGACAAACTTTTATTCTAGAAAGAGTTTTCAGTGTGCTGAAAAATTAGTGTTCTTTTCTGCTTTTTAAGAGAACAAAATTATAATTCCAAGGCATTCATTGTGCAACACAAAATCACAATGTGAGAAGAAAGGTTGAGCTTGCATCACAGCAACAAGAAATGAGTGTCTTCAATGCAACACCAGAAGGATGCCACTATTATTTCAGCTTAGCGAATAATCTTGGAGCAACCTGCAATTTCACAGATAAGGTTTCAAATGAAGATGAAAGGCTACCAACTTGAAATGTTTTTAACCAAAGGAAAAAGTCTGAAAACTTACACATTTATCAATACAAGACCAGTAGTCAAAATACTGTCCAGTGCAATGCTTATGTCCACTTTCATCATCCTTGATCCTCTTAACGCATGCCTGCATTATAGCTTCTAACATCAGAAATGCATTTCCAACCAAGCTTAAAATCATTCGTCATAAGAAAAAAAAAAAAAAAAAGGAAAGAAAAAAAGAGAGAGCATATGAAAAATTAAAGAAATTTATACCCCAAACATGCTTAATTGAAAAACGTGTGGAAAGTGAATAATACACATTTAAGGCAGCTACAATAATTTAATAGTAAAGAAGGCTGATCAGAACATTTGTTTCTGTATTTAGAATATATTAGGTCACATCAGCAAACATTTGCAACAAAAAAGAAAGAGCAGCCTATCTCTTTTCCTGTTTTCCATGTCCCATGATAAGGAGAAAGTTTGGACAAAATAATTTTCCAATTGATATTATCTCTATTGAAGTCCTTGCTGACTCTAGCATTCAGAAAGATTTCTATATCAAACATGATTTACCTGGTAATCAAGCAAGGGTTTCACACATTTGGGCTTGCAGATGCTTTCTTCAATCTCCCTCTTAGGATCAACAGGCTCCTCGTCCGACCTACATATAAAAAACAAGGTGGAAAATAACATAAGAAAACATACAAGTACTTTGCTACAAGGATAACTTTTTACAATTTCTCATTTTTCTTTATTATTGGTAAATAGGGGGTGGGGTGCAATTTATTGAGTGAGATTTTGAGAGCTGATCGTCGAGTATTTCATGTCCACTCAAATACTGATACTTCAGGGACTTGCTAAATCCTACAATGCCAGCACAGAGATGAAGGCGAAGTAGATGATGTTGAAAACTTCAGTTGTCATGGAAAGACAGAGATGGGGAAAGACAGCACACATATATAGGAAATAGCAATAAAGAAGTGTGGAAAAAGGTACTAGAACTACTAGCCAAGCACTCAAAAAAAAAAAAAAAAAAAAAAAAAAAAAGTGAAATTATACACTCCAAAATCTATTTAAACAACCCTATGATGCAAACCATCAACAAATGAATGCTACGCACTCAACATTAGCTTACACTGAAAAGCAGAATCAATACGTAATTGTCTATTGTCCTCAACTAATGGAACTTTAAGAGAAGAATTGATAGGCAACCTCTTAAAAATTCCAACCCTTGAAAATCTTACATTTTAAATATATAGCAAAGCTAGGTCTATTATGAAACCAAAATTTCAATCTTGACATTTCACTGTCATTGTAGTTAGTCAAAGTGAATTTTTTACAATAAAGAAAACTATGATAGGGTATGTAAGTCCCTTGCACAAACAGCGGTCTAGAAACAAAAACCATCAGTCCAAAACCAAAGAATCACGCATTACATTCTGCCCAAAACCAAGAACAGACTAGCAAAGCAATATTCTAAGTGAAAGCTGTGAAACACATTTCCCAAGGCGCCCAACTAGACGACAGGCTTACGTGAAATTTGATTACAGATTATTTCCTTCTCATTTTCCACGCACCAAAAAATCTTGGCCATAAAAACAAGGCAGCATCAAATAAACTCAAAAGCCAAAGAGAAAGCTAAAAAAAGAGCTACATGACAATCATTGATCTTACAGCTCCTTCGCAAAACTAAACCCGGTTGGGATAATAAATATTTTTAGGCTACATTATGCTCATGCATATTCCCCTTAGAAAGATAATTAAAGATTAAGACTTTCCTTTGCTTCCAAACAGACTCAACAACCACACATTAACATAAGCGCAAAATCCCTCATTTGTTCTCCTTCAGACTAAGCATTGAATAGAAAATCAATAACGTAAAGGTTGTTTTCCTCTACAAACTCATTAAGAAAGCTAGAAATAGTTTTGAATCAAATTGCTTAAGATTGCCATTCCGTGACAACTTCATTGCACCACAGCTTTTTGAAAAATACCACCCTACAAAGAACTGGAAAAATAAAGTCTCAAGAGTTGATCCTGGACCAACATAAACCCAGAACACACTCCAGATCCACTCTTCATACAAGATCCTTAGCAGCCAACATAGAATTCCAAGTAAACCACCTTCTCATCCCATTTCTTTTACAATAAAAAACATTAAAAGATAGCCCTCTCTTCATGAAAAAGCCTCTAAAGGATTATAACTTATAACTATTCCATCAATGAAAGTTTAGACAGCTTCTCAACAATTTCAATTATAGGTGATTCAAGCTAAAATGCCATTTCATTCCAGCAAAAGGAAACAGAATAATAATCTTCAAAAACAGTGTTGCACTGTTGCATATCCTAAACAATCTTTTGGTCAACCTTTCCCATAAGCAAAATGGTAT